AAAATTTTGTTACTGAATTCGGAAAAGTACCATTTTATGGTACAGGGTGGTATATCTTAGATGTCTCGAGTAAAGGAATTGATGTCGACCAGGCTAAGATTGAAGTGATAGAAAAGTTTCTACCACCCACACTGGTAAAGGCAATAAGGTATTTTCTTAGGCATACCGATTTTTACAAACAGTCATCAAAGACTATTCTAAAATTGCTAATCCCTTGTGTAAATTTCTTGAAAAAATCACCACTTTGTAATTTTTTAGTCATTTAAAGGTTGCATTGAGGAGTCGAAGAAGAGACTGGTGGCTGCATAAATTCATTATTTCACCTGACTGGGAGCAACAATTTGAGCTCATGTGTTATGCAAGAAAATATACTATAGGAGCAGTATTGGGACAATAGAAGGACAAGGTCATTCATCGAATCTACTTTGCAAGTAGAACTCTAAGTGAAGCACAACTCAACTATACCATAACTGAGAATGAGGTGTTAGCAATTATGTTTGCCTTCGACAAGTTTAGATCATATTTGGCAAGATCAAAAGTCATTGTTTATACTGACCATGCAGCACTCAATTACTTAATATCAATGAAGTAATGAAAGTTGTGCTTGATCTGTTGGGTGTTATTATTACAGGAGTTTGACTCGGAGATCTGCGATAGAGAATGGTCTGAGAATCAAGTGGTAGATCACCTGTCAAGATTGGAATAAGTGAAAATGAAGGTGGAACTAGAAAATATTTTGGATACATTCTCATATGAATAACTACTTGTAGCATATTCTGAGGGGATGCCATGGTATGCAAACATTGCAAACTACCTAGTGAGTGGTATTGTACCCTATGAACTCTTTGTTGTTCAAAATTAAAAAGCTCTTTCGTGATTGCCAATCTTTTTACTAGGATGACCCTATCCTTTTTAAAATTTTTATAAATAACATGATCCAGAGGTGTATCCCCGAGAAAGATCAAAATTTTGTTTTGCAGGCTTATTAGGTATCACCTTATAGTGGTCACTTTGGAGGAGTTAAGACAACAATAATGGTGCTAGAATCGGGCTTTTACAAGTCATCTCTATTAAAGGAAGCACATTCTGGGGTCAAGAGTTATGATTAATGCCAACAAACTAGAAATATTTCTCGCATTCATGAGATATCGATGACTACAATTCTAGAGGTTGAAGTATTTGACATGTGGGGAATGACTTTATGGGGCCATTTGTTTGCTCATATGATAATAAGTACATATTGGTAACAGTTGACTATGTCTTCAAATAGGTTGAAGTCTTTGCAGTGCCGACGAATGATGTGAAGGGAGTCATAGGGTTTTCGAGGAAGAATGTCTTCATTCGCTTCACTCAAAGAGCTATAATCAGTGATCAAGACTATAAATACTACCAATACTGATTAGGTGAGGAAGTTGGATTATAGTATGAGCTTATTACACATCTCTTAAAACTCCAATTTGTTTGTTCCCATACAAATTGGTATTTGAAAAAGCATTTCATCTACCAGTGGAACTTGAGCATAGGGCTTTCTAGGCGTTGAGGCAATTAAACATGGATATTAAAGATGCCACTTCAAATAGAGTTACAGAGCTACACGAGATTGACGAGTTCTACTATCATGATTTTGCGAGTACAAGGTTGTATAAGAAAAGAATGAAGATGATGCATGATAGGCATATACAAGATTCAAACTTCAAGCTCGAAGATAAGTTGTTGCTATACAACTCAAGATTGAGGTTGTTCCAGGAGAAGTTGAAATCAAGATGGTTAGGACTGTTTAGAGTAGTGCAAGTGTTTCCAAGTGGAGTTGTGGGAATGGAGTCTGAAGATTGAATTAACATGTTTCGTGTAACTAGACAAAGGTAGAAGCACTATCTCGGCATACATGAAAAGGAGAGGACAGTCTTTGTGATGTATTTGAGCAAACCTTGATCCTTGAGGAAACCTTTATAAAAAAAAAGGTTGCATTGTGTCGCGATGTTAAATAAGGCATTGCATGGGAGGCAACTCATGGTATTGTAGTAGTTCGTCATATTGTGACATTAAATGAAACACGTGTTGGATGGAAACTCAATCTTCTTTATTTTTGTATTTTATTAGTGCTAGTTTGTTTTACATCGCTTGATGTAGTTACTGAGTTGTGTAGGTATTGAACAATTCAAAAAGAGAAGTGGAAACAAGAAAATCGAAGAAATAGGCTATAATGGCAAAGCTATAAAAATAGCCAATTCTATGCTCGTCTCAGGTCCTCATGTCGCAAGGAACTTGGATGTCCCTGGGGGCCTCATGTATTTGGATGCAATGAAGCAGGGTATAGCGAACCCTCATTGCATCCCATCTTTCGCACTCGTCTGAGGGCCTCGCATCGCGAGCTCCTTAGCGTGCCTCGCATCGCGAGCATCCTTAGTGTGCCCAGGTAAGTTCATGTTCTTTTCTTTCAAAACAAACTTTCCACCCCCAAACCTTATTTCCGTCCAATCCTGTGCGTCTCTCACTCGCCTCTCTCGCACTCAAAGTCCCTCCTTTTCTTTAATTTTTATTGCCACAGACCGCTACCACAAACTGCCCTTCCGCCACCAAGTAACACCTTTCCCCCTCATCCTTCTCTCTTCTCCAATGACAATCCCATTCCTATTTCCTATGGGGTTTTGTAGTTTCATTCTCTTTCTTCTTTTCTATTCTTAATGAATTATCATCAAAGGGAGGGACTTTTGGAATGAAAAGGGTTATTTGGATTAGTTGTTACATAGGGTGATATGGAAAACTAGAGTTCCTATCATGTCACGTGAATTGAGAGGGTATTCAACATACCAATTGCTTAGACAGGCTACATATGAATCATGCACTCCACATGTTTGGTAGAGTGCCTCAAAGAATGTTTCATAGAGTTGCATGAAGTATGAGCAGCACAAGTCTATCGAGGAGCAGTGTGAGTAATCCCATAAGTGTGGGGTATCCAGTTGGGTCATCTTTGACAAGTTTTACATTAGTTCTTCGACGAATGTCACCTATGACCGACTTAGGTATAACTTGGTGGTACCATGGCCAATTAAGGCACGACTTCGTGCCACCACTACCCAATTTGGCCTGATTGTGTGCATCAACACCTCCAGCTGCTTGGGTATGTAATATGACTTTTAATGGTTACTCGTACCTCGCCTTGCACACTTATGCTTAAAAGCTATGTGTGGGGTTTACCGCATACTATTATGTCTTGTCGTTTGGAATACGCACTAACACTGTTTCTTTTGACTCATGTAAGTAATATGGCTGTAACCAAAAAGCCAACAAAAAATCATAGAGGCGGCGATGGAAAGCCTCCATCAAAGAAGCCACCAACTGACAAGGGTGCACGGGGCAAGGCTAATAAAGAGTGGAGAATGAAACATACACATGATAACGATAGGAGCAGTACTTATAGTAAGGTGGATACTGAGGTCATCGAGCAAACGATTGAGTTGCCCACAAAGGTATAGAATTAAAAAATATTTCCATGGTCGACTAGGCCATGAGAACTCCAATTTCAGATCACCAGAGCCTGAAGGGAAGGCAAAAAGGAAGAAAATTGCAGAGTCAGAGTCAGAGTCTATGTTCGATTCATCTAATGATGATGTGATGGTTAACCGCCTAAGTGGGATGTGGAGCCGAGTGAAAGGGATGAATGGGAAGATAGCTTTGTAAGCGAGGCTTCATGGAAGCTATGGATAAAATCAAATAGAAACATTTCAACCCACAACTGCTTGAGAAGCCGCTAAACTTTAAGGCGACTAAAAAGGCTTGCCCAGATATACTGAAGCAAATTGAGAAGTGAGGTTGTGTGCACTTTGCCAAGGACCTAAGGGCAATGCTACCCTTACTCTTATTAGGGAATTGTACTCAAACTGTGACCTGGATCAGTGTGACATTGTTTGGCTACGAGGAGTAGAGGTTAACATTTTAGCCCAAGCTATAAACAAGTACTGCCATGCCAACCAGCAGGCCATGATTGATTACTTGAGAAGGGAGCAGTGTATAGACTTGTAGCGGATGCTTGAGGTGTTACGTGAGGACTCGAGTAAGGCACGTAATAAGAAAACATGCCACCTTGGCAAAGACGTTTTTGAACATGGATGTCCGTGCTTGGCTCAATTGGGTTTGCAACAAGTAGATACTGTCTAGAAACAAGTTGGATGTGATATTGGAGAGGAGTGTTCCTCATATACGCTCTTATGACGGGCATATTTGTGAACATTGGGGATGTTTTGAAGAGTCGGATAAAAGACCCGCAAAAACATGAAGTGGATTTTGTATTTCATGCATACCTTGATATCGGTGCTGGCCAAGTACAAGCTGGAAAAGATAGATGATGAATAGATTGAGGAGATAGACATGACATCCATTATATTTGTGTTGTTTAAGACTCGACGTAGGAGAATATCTACACTACTGAAAAATTAGTCTATGGTAACGCATGGAAACCCGTTCCAATAGGTAGATAAACCGTTGCCATAGAGATAGAACGGTTTACAGACCGTTCCATCCGCCGGCGTGCCAATATAGCTATAGGAACGATTCTTGCAACGGTTTGCATCTTTGTTGCTATAGAGACATATATCGCAACGGATTTCCCTTTCTCTGTTGGAACGATTATTCTTTCCAATTGGAACGGTTTAAAATCGTTACTATATTATTTATGCAACGGTTCATAACTGTTACCATATTATCTAATGCAACACTTATGTAAGCTAGTGTTACGGTTATGTATGGATATAACAACGATTTCTTTAAGCTATTGTAACGGTTTTATTTGTATTGTTATGGTTTATTAGAACGGTTTATGGGACATTTTGGAACGGTTTACCGGAGCTATTGCAACGATTTACATTCTCTAATGGAACGCCATTTGTCCTATTACAACGGTTCTAGTATGCTATTGTAACAGTTCATTTAAAACAAAAATATGTAAATAAATTTTATATATATAATAAATTATAATAACACTAAAATTTAAATAAATCACAAAATGAAACTATTAATAACATAAATTGTCGAACAAGCTAATAATATCCATAAAGCAAATGTTCTACCCAAGTGCATAAGTTTAATAAATTTTCAAAATGTCGATAACAAAAGATTTCTAGAACATTCATCTATAGCAATTCAAAATTCATCTTAAGTAAGGTCTAGATCTTCACCGCCTTCATCTTTCATTTCTTGATCTACTCCACCTACAAATGAGGATAAATAAAGTCATTACCCTTCGAGAGAATCCGGTCTAAGAATGCTCCTAGCACACAATGATATTGAATGCCTAGACTAAATATATGGAACAAAAAAGAAAGAGAAAAGATTGGACATAAAAGATGCTAGTCATGAGCCTAGGAACATGCTGCAGCACTGTATATGAACTAGTTTTTAAGCAACAAAGTAAGGGAAAAACTTCCAAATAAACACTGGTTGCAGTCTCAGGACGAACACTTTTGCACAAGTTGACCCCACTAGGTAAAGGCAATAAATCAAACCACTAGAAGAATTTTAAAAAATGAGAGAGCAATACGAAACCGTGGACATGGTCCACTTGATTCCCTACACAATGACCAGGGCCGTTGGCCTAAAAGAGGCCAAATCTTTTGTACCAATTACACTGCAAATAGGTATTGAGCTAGAAAAATAAAACCCATACAACTGCAGCATGAAGGATGGACTAGACATGATTTTGATGATAAAAATTTGAGCTGACACTCACTACTAAGAAAAAAAGATGCATAAGAAACATTTGTGAATAACAAGTTAAACCTACTACTATATCCACTACATAGCAACAGGTTGACCATTAAGGGATGTGTAGCTTACAACAAGATAAACATCCATAGAGTTTCTCTTCTTTAGTTTCATTTGTCATTGGGAACTTCTTCCTAACTTGAATCCTAGCAAAAATTTGATTGATGGAGGGCCTCTGGTATAACCATGGTATCTCTATAGGTCTATTAGGTTAGAAAAGCCATCACTGACATGACAACTAACTAGCAGGGAAGCATATTAAAACAGTGACAACGAAACACAAAAACTAAGGTTGACAATATACACAAAAGAACAAAATCAGATGTACTCATATGAGGAAGACAACATGCAATAGATAAATAAGCTATGCCAGATCTAAGTGAGTTGAGACAGTTGCAAAGTCTGAAATAATAGCCAATTACCTATTCCAACTTCGAGCATTAGATAAGAAAATGTTGTGATCCATCTAAGAATCAGTGTAACTAGTCTAGATATCAAGTCAAATGACTCAAGTGCTCTCAATGATCCTTAGGCAAAGCTCATGCCATAGGAGGAAACATAGCTCTTCATAAACTCATGAAACAGGAAATCCAACATCAATAGGAAAACCGAACCAATCTTTGACAAATTTTTCAACAATAACAGATAAACTCACGTTCTTTATCAATTATTTTCAGAGTATTAGCATGCTATCTAAGTTCTTTCAATACTCTTTTAAATACAGATTCATATATGAAGCTTAAGCGAATGTATTCACATTTATTCAGATTATTCCAGTTAAAAACAAGATGAAGCAAACTAATATGTGAAAACGCTGATGTTATTATCCTCCAATGATGACCTTCCACAGCAGTTTCATAACTCATACCAACATGTGAATAACCAATATTTGATTTATGAATGCTTACAAGGACACACAACCTTGTCCTATTTTGGTTTTACTCCAAATGGTAATAACATAATGACAATTCAGCAAAGTTCTTTCATTTTTCTTAAAAGTTTTAACTTGTTTCAATAAGGAAATTTTGGTATGCTAAACATGTAGAATTTTCTAGTAACTTAAAGCGTCTAAAGAAAATTCAACGTGTGAAAAGATTTTTCATACAAGTTGATAGGTAAAGTATATATTAAGCCTAAAACCTATACCACATCTTTGAAGGGAAATGATTTGGCTCCGTATGAGATCGAATCACTTTTGCTAAAGAAATTTGGATGCAGACTTTTCAAAAGAAATCCGAAAGATCAAAACAAAAACCCTACAATACTCATAATATAAATTATATTCATGCTAATCTGTTGTACATTGCATGCTAATCTAAATTATATTTTGTACATTGCATGCTAATCTGTTGGAACATGTAAAGAGATAAGTGGTGGTTTGCATAATGTATTGAGTTATTTCAACTAAAACAGTATATTCTCTTTACAATTTATGATTAGACTAGTATAGGATTTTTTTTATAATGTAGTATTCTGAAAAGCAACGGTCATGAGGAAAGTCTCAAATAGCAATGAGATGCTCCAAAATAAGGAACAGACAATAAAGCTCCCACTTCTTATCAACTAAAGAAAATACTTACACATTAACAAAAGGACTTTGTGCTAGAATATAGCGCTAAGCAATCTGCTTCGTCTAAAGAAAATATCCCAATAAATTAGATGATTAAATTGAGAACCTTTTTAAGTAAAAGAGGCATAGATAATCAATGTTAACATAGTGCATTTGTATATTTTTATGAGTCTTCTGCAGGCTCACATAATAAATATCTAGCTAGCTGGGTAACTCTAAGAAATAGGTTGACTTTTTTGTATTCTTGCAACAAAATATTACAGAACAATATTAAATAACACAATGCTTGCCTATTTTGTCATTTGTAGTAACTTAATTTAGAGCAGTACTCAACCCATGCATTTCATTTCCAAAAAAAATTAGACTTCAGCAACATCTTGTAACTTAACTCAAGGCATCATTAGTTAAACCCCAAGATAGCACAAAAAAAAAACTAATTCAGAGTAACATACATAACAAGATAAATAAGCGAAATACAAATACACTACCAGCAAATCCAATTATCAAAAATTTGAATTAAGAAAACTTACCAGCAACGAGTGTTCCCTAAGTTACCAGCAATGATTTCTCCTCGGCTACCAGAAATAAATTTTCTCTCAGCTAACAATATCTATACCACCAAGGAAAGTTCTACAGTTCAACAAGGAGGAGCATGTAAAAAAAAACTAAAAAATGACATCAGAGAGGGACTACTTGGAGAGCATTCGAGCAAAGAGAACAAGAAATAATCTTGCCTTAGATTCAAAAACAAACTAATTAGACTCAAAGTATGGTTTTTTTTGTGTAAGTTCCAATAGGTATTGGATTTTGTAAACCTTGTAGCCTTTGGATTTCGGGATAGCAAAAGCTATTATCAATTCAAAAGAAGAAACAAACATAATTAACCATCTGCGCACTATCTATTAAATTTAATTAATTTAAGGTTTATATCTTTCTTTTTTGGCTTAATTCATGTTCATCTCTTTCCTTCTGCTCCATATATCACTTTTATAATTAAAAGAAGAAGAACAAGAAGAAAAAGAGAACTTGACAATTTAATTAATTTGAAATATCTGTTAAAACACAAATCCCAAAAAATTTGTTAGAGAACAGACAAACAACATTTCAGAATTAACTCTAACCTTTGCATGTTCGGATTTGTTAGAGCGAAAGAGAGAAGAAAAAAAGGAGAGAAAACACCGTTTCACCAAAAAATTACTGGTTTGACACCACAAAATAAAAATAAAAACGAGAAAAAATTCAGATTCACAGCGGTGATGTACTATTTATCAATCAATATAAATACACCATCCCTAGAGCAATTCTACAACCTCCATGGATAGATTGAAGAGTTAAAAAAGGCATCAAAAGAACTTACATGGCTAAAATCACTGCTGTTGGATTTAGGGATTTGGGGGAGAGCACCTGTTTTGGGGAAGTTTTCTCAAATGCCTCAAAAATTCGTCACCCCCATTCACGATACCCAAAGAAGTGTCCACCAAATCAGCAAAAATTATTTGTAAAAACCCATAAAGCCAATGATATAGCAAAGTTCACAGAGTGAAAGAGAGGAATACGATGGATAGGAAGATTCAACAGATTTCTCAGAGTGAAAGAGAGAAGAAGATTTTTGGAGTGAGAGAGGCGTCTGTAATTGGGGGTGTATCCAAATTGAGTAGGGAAATATCTGTGGGCTTTTACTTTAGGGGTATCGGCTAGCTTTGGGGGTATCGTAGGTTTTAGTGGGAAAGGGCTAAAAAAATGTTTATTTAATATTTAGATTATTAAAATTATTCAAAAATAAAATAAATAGGGGTTGTTTTGGCGGGTTTAACAAAATTCAGGGGGGAAAATAACTGTTCCCATAGATAGTTTTATTGGGACAGTTTATATAACCGTTGCGACAAATGCATCTATGGCAATGATTGTTTTACAATTGCAACGGTTGTATAGCTAAAGTGTGCTGATATCACCTAAATGTTATTGTAACAGTTGTAACCATTACCATATATTCTATGGCAACGGTTTTTGAACCATTGCTATAACAACTGTTGCAATAGGCCCATTTTCTGGTAGTGAGCTACAAGAAGGGGCAAGGTGAGAGGATCGTGGTTGTGGAGATTACGCTTAGACAACTGAGGGTTGGTTTGGAGTAACATGATCGTGTGTTTCTAACTGCTAAGTGAATGGGGCGAGTAGTTTTCCATGATGCTTGCGGAGATTCGTAAGAAGAAGAAGTCGCGTTCTATTAGTGTAACACTCCGTAAATCTGAATTAGTTGTGGATGCATTAAATGAGTATCAATGGGAGGTCCTATTGGGATAAGTATGGTGGAAACCGTTGTTTTGGAATCAAGACCGATAGTGAGGTGCATAAATTCGATAGAATCGACTAAGTTTATGGGAGGTACGTCTTATAGTCTTAGTCAGTGCAAGGCCATGAAAACTCACGGACATAGACAGTGCAAGGCCATAAGAACTCACGGCCATAGACAGAGCAACTGTCTAGGGCATTAACATCAGCACCCCTGACAGTGCAAGGCACTGTCGAGGGCATCAACCTCAGCTCCCCAGATAGTGCGAGGCACTGTCCAGGGCATCAACCTCAGCGCCCTAGACAGTGCAAGGCACTGTAGTTTTGGCGCCTTGCACAGTTATTTTGGCGCCCCTGACAATGCTCCGTACCGACGATGTTTACCCGAGCTACTTTTATTTTCCTCCTCATTTTGGGATGTGTTCACTTATTTAAAAGCCCTACCTCGTTCCCCCACACCCAAAACACGAAAACCTACTCTAGAAAGAGAAGCTCTCAAGAACCTAACTTCCCCAAGGTCCCTCCATCATCCAAGGTAAGTTCTAACGATGATTCTAAGTTAATTTCAATTCTCCAATACCTTATTAACCTGGGTAAATCCTTCCACCCATTAGTCATTCGATCGAGACACCATTATTGAGAAAGGAAATCCTAGAACTCGAATTCAAGATGAGTGAACTTCGAAAAGGTAATGTTTCTACTCCCTAATCATTTATAACTATGAATTGATAAGTTTTTGGGAGAATAATGAATGGGTTTGATAAAGAGAACCATAATCACTATGCTAGAGTTTTGGATTGTTGAATTATGATTGATGTAAACATTTGGGTGATGAGAAATGGTTTTAGTTACATCTTTTTGGGATTGTAGAATCACCTAGAAGTAGTAGAATGAGAACTTGGTGAAGAAAAAGACCAATGACTAAGGGCTATGAGGCTTTACACCCATAAGGTGTTTGATAAAATTCCTAAGTTACTCAAACAGNAGGCCAGAGATATGGTATGTGAGGCTAACTCTCTTTACGTTTGGGAATGTCAATTATTCTCCCTACACTACGTTTCTTTTACAACGTTACTAATTGCCTCAGAAATATATAGTTAAGCCTAGTTCCTTGAATAGTTTCAGAATTCTTATTCTCTAGCTTCATAACTCGTTCATGACTTTCATTCTTAACTTTTTGAGCTTAGTGTGTAATCAATATAGACTTGGGTTTGATGCCCATAAGTCTTAGTCTAGATTACTTAGCATTCCATAAGCAGTTGAAGTTGAAGTTTCCATAATAAGTTCATGAATACATGTCTCAGTCTAGTTCTATTCAGTATCCCAGTATCATACAACTCAGTATGATTCAGTATTTTAGTATCATGTATTGCATTATGATTCTTAGTTCCTTCTTTAAATCCCTGAATTTTGAACACCTGTATTTGGGCCTGAGGCCACAGTTTATGCTTTATGCATCTTTGGGTCTGAGGCCGCAGTTATGTATACATATACTCGGGCCCGAGGCCACAATTTGTGCACATATATATTGGGCCTGAGGCCATAGTTTATTTATTCAGATATATAGGTGGTTCATCATTTAGAAGAGGGAGTATTCATATCCTTACTTCATTTGTTCTGTTTAGTTATCAGTTATCATTTGAGTTTCAGTTTCAACAATTATCATTTTAGTTATCAATTATCAATTCTCAATTATCAGCTCAGTATCAGTTTCTGCATTTATATTTCTTTCTTTCAGTTGCTTTACATACCAGTGCAATTCAAATGTACTGACGTCCCTTTTTCCCGGGGCCTGCATATCACGATACAGGTAATGATTTACATGTTGACGACTCGGAGCGCTAGAATTCTCGTACCAGCTATTTGGTGAGCCCCAGGTCTTTCGGGGCATTATCATTACTTTATAGTCTTCAGTATTTTTAGAGTTAGTATTTTCAGTACTTCATTAAAGGCTTCATAGACTAGAGTAACAATTAGACAGAGTCACAAGCTTTTCATGTTAAGCAATGTTGACTGCAGATATATTTTAGACTTGTATTAGTGTTTCCACACTTTGATTTATATCATTCAGACTTTCAGTATATCAACATGTGTTAGTTTATCTTCCGCATTCAGTATGTTATGATATCACATGTTGATTCAGGCACCAAGTGTCGTGTTACGTCCACGCCCAGGTTCGGGGCTTGACAAAGCTTGGTATCAGAGCAATAGGTTCAAGTGTCCTAGGGAGTCTATGAAGTCGTGTCCAGTGGAGTTTCCTTTATCTGTGTGTGCCAGCCATGCATATAAATGGTTAACTACCAAGACATTCGGGATTGTCTCATTTTTTTCTACTATAGATCATGCTATGAAGCTTAAAGCAATAGATAACCTTCTCTTCTTATCGAATTCCAGACGTATCAAATGCCCAAGTGTCGGGTAGGAAAACCCAAGGTCCTAGAGAGGATGATTTCCCATTGGGGTATAATTATGGAGTACATGTTGGTAACAAATGAGACTTGAGAGGATGTTGAAAGTGGGATGCAATGGATAGCAGTATGTATTAGAGCATAACCTTATAATAAAGTACAAAAGCAGTTATCATGTTTTAAAGTTATCAGTTTACTTCAGTTACCGGATATATAGTCTTTTATTTAGCAGGTTTATGGTTATTCAGTGTGCCAGTTACCAGATCTCCAATTTTCAGTGTATCCAAATTCTGGTGACTTGTGAGTATAACAGTGATGCCTATCGGTGCTAAAAGAAAATGTAACTAATGGTGATTATAGCAAAATCTTCGCATGTTTTAGGTCCGGATTAAGACCCAAAACTCGCCGGATGGAGTAGGAAGTGATTTATGAGATGATGGTATCTCTGAAGGACAAGTTTATATATGGTAGTGTATCCATATGTGTTCACGGTACAGTTTTATTTTAATTCTGAGAAATGGAGTCATAGGTTGGATGATGATAGTTCAGATCTCAGACCCCACAGTGTAACATGTTAAGAATTTAATCGTAGCGGGCATAAAATTGATCACTATAGTTTTGAACAGAAAAGATCCTAATGGCAAAACCTAGGAGCCAAAAATGTTTGTTATTGCCAAAGATGTGTTTTTCGTACGACTCATGCATATGACTAAGAAGACATGATGTACTAAATGAGAACCAAGAACATCCGATATTTAATTTCAGGGGATGATTTTAAGTTGTTCAGATTTATTCAAATCATAACGAGAAAGTACCACATTAGTAAGTCATTATAAGAAGCAGCTATTATTGTGAGATAAAAGATATGATAGTTTTCCCTTGGGTTATGTGATTTAGTGTTTACCCCGAACGTTTATAGTCTGATATGATTTTGAAGTGTATAGAAAGTTTGGGGTTAGATATTCCAATTTTGTTTAAGACAGCTGAAATTTCCCTAAGTGTGATCCACGTACATAGTACAAAAGAAAGATAGTGTGTGATCGTAGGATAGGGTCGGATGATGAGGGAAGTTAGAAATAACCTTCTGCTTCACTATAGTTATTCAAAGCAGAACAAGAAAATATGATTCTAGCAGGTGATTAGTCAAAGAATAGTAAGTAAATTTTGAGTCGATATGATGAATAAGCAATATCAGCAGAGCTAGGAGAGGTACGATTTGATTCACTTAAAAAGGTTAACACTAGTAAGTGGGTAATAGTTTGAAACACCAAACGCGTGTTAGAATCCAATGAGTTTAAGTTAAACCTGAAGTACAGTGACAGTGGAAGGAGTAAAAAAATCAGCTAGACAGTAAGAGAGCAACTATAGAAGAATGTCTTTAAGAGTTATCAAAAAAAGGGTTTCCCCTAGATTGACAGTATGAGCAGAGTTAAATCATTAAGATTGTGTGTGATAGTAGTGAATACATTAGCTTTCTGCTTATGTAAGTAATGTAGTTTTTCCTAGTAAAAAAAAGATTGCTCAGAGTAAGTCGAAAGAGGAGTTGTCATTGACGTAAAGTGCAAAGAATTGCAGAAAATAAGCAAGGTTGTTTGGATCCCAAAAAAAGGATCCACAAGTATAAGACCTTAACCTTTGGTCTAAGGGGGAGTTGTGAAAATCATCAGTAAGTCCAGTTGGAGATCTGACACCCGAAAAGTTAGCATGGGATGCGAAAAATGATATAATTACCACAAGGAATGTGCCTAGCGTATGTTAGAAACACGAAGTTAGTAGAATGATCACGAGACTCTAATCATTAGTGTACTCATCAAAGACTTAGCTCGCATCAATACCATAAGTGTTTTCAGGAATTACCTTAAAAAGATAATCAAGTATGGAAAGTATAGCTCATGATTAAAGCAGATAAGAGAACTCTGGTGAAAGACGTTCACTACTTAGTCAACCTTGGAGTTTGACTTTCAGACTCCGAAGATAATGGAGTTATTGTCTAGAACA